TTTTTCAATAATTTTTGAAAATCTATTTAAAATTGAAATCGGACGGTAGTTATCAATGGCTTCACCTTTTTTGTGTAGACAATAACTTTTGCAAATTTAAATATATCTGGAAAAATACCAGTGAGAAAAATGTTATTAATTAACATTGTCAGAGGGTCTAATATAATTTCTGTAGTTTTTTTTATAAGTTTGGCATTAATCCCATGAATATCTATAAATAAAAGTTCGGACAACGCTAAGAACTTTGTAACTGGAAAAAGAAAAACGATGAGCAGGGAGCTGGAAATTTTTTAAACTTTAATAAATCAATAATTGATAAAACCGGTAAAGACTTAATAATATTCTCCTGCTACATTTGAAAAGAAATTGTTAAAATCACTTGGGGTTAGACTTTCAATACAGTTTTTTGTTTTGATTTATTTCTTACAAACTTTACCAAATGTCAACTTGCTTTGGATTTGTTATCTGCCATCGCTATATAATTGTCATATGCATTCTTTTTTGCACGTTTTAGTTCAATATGCACGTTTTAGTTCAATATTATAGTTTTTCTTAATGTTTTTAAAGTTATTAACAACAACTAGGTCTTTGGTAAACCAACAAACAGGCTGCTTATTTAAAATACATCTGCTCTTCTATAGCGGAAAAGGCCTTTCAACAAGATCTGTTAATGAATTTACTAAAAAAGAAGATAAAAAGTCAAAATCTTGACTTGTTTTAAAGAATCCCCAATCAATTTTCAAAAAAAGATAATTTCCGTATGCCAGAGTTTGAAATAGCCCTAGTTAAAGTTAATTCTTCGGATTTCTTTATAACTGCAGTTCTTAGAAACAAATGCTGCTCTAAATGATCAGAAAACAGAAGGTCATATACACCAACTGTATAAAAACCCTCATTTAAATTTGTCATAATATTATCCAAGCAACTAGATTGTGTAGGTGTGATCCTAGTATAGTATATATATATAGTATAGTATATTCATCGATATTTACTAAAAGTCCGTAAGAACATAACAAGCACTTTAAATCAATTAGAAAGGCATAATCTCCCTTAAAGTTAAAATTAAAATCACCTAAAACCATAATTGATTGCAAAGAATTTACAAAATCATCCAAAAGATATTCAAAATTTCGTAGAAAAACTCTCTCATTACCAATATATTAATTTTTAATTGATATAGAGTCGTACCACAAAATTCTGAAATACCCTTTTCATTTTATTTATCAAGATTCAGACATTTTCTTCTGAATTTATTTCTAGAGAAAATAGCAACTCCTCCATGCTCAATATTTTGATCTCTACAATAAAAACAAGACTATAAAGATCTTTTTAGATAGCCAGGCAGCCCTTAAAGCCCTGAGCTCCAATCGAGTTGACTCAAAGCTGGTTTGGAACTGTATAAATACCCTAGAGTGTCTCGGTGCCAGGAACAAAGTTACTTTGATCTAGGTTCCGGGACACAGTGGTGTGGAGGGCAACGAAAAAGCCGACGCACTTGTTAAAAGAGGAACCGAATCTGTATTCATAGGACCAGAACCATTCCTGGGCATTGCAAAAAGCACTGCCAAAGGAATTATCTCAATTCAACCATGACCTTCATCAAAATGTGTGGCTTGTACGGTGAACTATAAGTTAGTTATGAGCCACAATAGACCCATCTGGGTCGCAGTGGAGGGCGATGAGATCATCCCACTCTTTTTCAACCTATCCTAAGATTACTTTCATTTTGCCAATGTTCCGAAACCTTCATACCCTTTTAATGTTTGTTGTTAATAGTTTGTAATTGAAACATTGTTATTATTTTTGAATTTTTTTTAATGGATGAAGTTTAAAAGATTTTTTGTGATAAAATTGTTGATTTTAGGTAGATTACATTTGATTTGAAATGAGATATTATTTGTACTTGTCCATTGCGATCTTTTCAGATATATTGAGGGACTCTATTATTTAGAGCAGTGGTTTTCCAACTTATTTTGCCCGACATCCCAGTTTTGGCTCCGATTTTACACTCACACTAATATAGCTTATTTGATTTTTATTAAATAGAAGTGAAAATCTAAATTTTTACCACCTTCCATTATTATTAGTTTATTTCTGCCTCACTAATAAGAAAACGCCCATACTTTGCTTTTTATTATTGCACTTCTTTCCGCTTTTAAATAGCAATAGTTTGTAATAATTTTCGTTACTCTTATTAAGTTATTGACTTGAGCTACCTACTTAATATTTAGATGAATACTTTTGATATTGGTTGCTTATGGTCAGCAGTGAGAGACGATACATATTATTATTTAAGTAATTGAAGCAGAAAATATATAATTGCCCGGAACCACAAGCGTAATTCTATATAAGAAAAGTAATTAAATAAATGAGAGAAATGGAACATAGATGTGTTCAATGATCGTGGTTTTAAAATAATCGATTATGCTAGTTCATTTAGAAGCACGTCATTAGGACAGTTTTGTATAAAATTTATAGATATCATTGTCATCTTTATAGGTATTTATTCATAAAATTAGCTTTCGTAGATAAGGAAGGATGTAATCTGCATTACCGACTTCATGAAAGCTACATACAAACTTTCAAAGTAATGTGTACAGAAAACGGTGTGTGATAATGTTTTTACCATTGTATTTATATAATCGATATTAAATTATTTAAATAATATAATTTCACTACAAATTTTACAATAAATAATTACTTATTTACAAAAGTTGGAAGTGTTCGAAACCTGGCATAGTACATTAAATTACTTTTTCTTCAGCCATAAACATACGTTTACCAAATAAATGTATAACTATCAAATCTGACTATGTAGATTTAATTTAATATGGCTGGATTTTATGTTTAAATATTTTTATACCTAGATTTTCCTTTTTAACGTTAATTATAATAATTTTAAAAATACTGGGTACATAATATTGAATTGTCTTTAATTATTACTTTTTTAGAATGTAATTACATTTACTTTTTATATTTTCAATAACCTCATTTGGCTTTTAATACTCTATTATACATATTTTCCCATTAATTTTACTTTATAATATTCTTCCAAACAAGTTTTCAAATATATTGAATAGGGTTCATCTACTCAATTTAGAGAAACTTTTATAACTTATAAATTGCAATTATTTAAAATTTTTTCAAAAAAAATATTTAAAAAATATGTTTATTTAACATGGTTAAAAAAATTTCAATATTCACCTTGTATATATGTTTTAGTATTTTATTTTTCCTTGCACAGAAATATCAAATATATACGTGTTGTTTCAATAGAAGCAAGAACTGAAACTTCTTTTATTGTATTCTCAAAATGTCGTTTCTACAGATACTGCACTATATACGTTCCTATACTTTCCTTACTGGAGAGTAAAAAAAAAAACAAAAAACTGACCCTGTTTTGCTACAAGTTCCAGCCAAAACAAATATGATTTAAGATCATCCAAGTCGGCATGCAAAACGAGAAGATGCGAGGGTACGGCGATGTGTGTAAATAATTTCAAGTTTCGAAACGTTATCAGATGCTCTCATGTAGGTCGTTATTATACAACTGTCTGCAGATATAATGAGAATCATTTTAAAAAAACAATTCAGTAGCAATTTTCCGTTTTAGTTACACAGCATGTACGATGGTGTATATGTCAGAAACGTTGCCCATATTTGGAGTTGTTTTATTGTTTATTGTCAGAGAATACCTAGTGAATGAAAATTGATTAGGACAATACCATTCTTACCTAGATAAAAGAAATAAATTTTAAAAAATTTAGAAAAACTTCCAATTCAGAATACAAATTTAAAGAGGCTACGGCGTTACGGCTCTATAACGATTTAAGTCAATTATGTGATTGTGATTGTTATAAAAAAATGACATTTTCGAATACGGGTTCTTATACTTAAATGTTTTCGATTATTGCACTAAATAACTTTTCGACGTTTGAGCACATCCAGTATTATGAGATTTTTTATTTTTTTAAAAATACGAATTGGAGGATATTCCATCCATAAGAAAAGATTTGTCGCTAAGATGGCTTTGAAATGTTGAAATCGTTAAAAATATTAATAATAAAAAACAAGTTAATAACAGAGTATCGAATATTATAAAAAATATTTTGAAAATAATACCAACAACATAATAAAAAATTTATACAATAACTTATTTCATTTCAATTTTAACCTAACAATAAACTTTTTACAATATATAGTGATGAAAATAATTATGGAATCTAATAATTTAATAATTTTTACACGAAAGATTGTTAAAAAAATTTGCATTATTATTAATAATTTATTGAAAAAAGTAATCAAGGTTTAAATCTTAATAAAATAGTAAATAGTAGTATTACAAGGAGCCGGAAAACATAAAACAAAAATTCAGATTACAAATCGTACTTGTCTTCAGTGACGTGCTACTATTTTAAAATGTTTTTGCTCTTCTAGAAAAACTTTATTTTTATGGAATAAATATATTAATAGTGTACATGGAATGTTGCGGAAATTCTGTTTCTTTATCTAGACACAGACAAGAACTTCAAATATTCTAGGAAATAAAAAAATCTAATTTATTTTTTATATTTTGGATCATAAATTCTGATTTACCCCAATCCAAATAAATGCTATTAAAAATACACACCTAATTTTTGAAATACCCTGTATGTTGATCTATCATTATATACTAATTAAAAATTACTAAGTATATTATTAATTAACCCAAGAGTTTTTAATTTAAATATTTGATCTATCCAAACATTTTTCGTCATCGTTTAAATTAAAAATTATTATATTCCGCAATTTATTTCCACACTGTATTAAAACTATTTTACCTACTGTAACTTGATTAAAATAATTACATCTTCATAATATATAATTTAATTTAATTAATATGCAAATTTTTTTTTTGACAACACAATTACTAATCATTTAACTTCACATTAAAAATGCGAAATATAAAACTAAACATTCATCTATCAGTTAATGATAATAATTAATAATTATAATATTTGGCTTGGTTTGAAAAACAGCAGGTAGTGTCTAATACTCATGGCCGTGAAGGCCGCTGAAATAGGCATCTAGGTCATATCCATCTCCATATCCATAACCTCCGTCATATATGTCGTTTACACCTGGAAGTAAAAATTACACACTTTAATTTCGAAAATTTTTAATTCAATTATACGGATATTTGGTTAAAATGTCTATAAATTTCGTCGAGTGGCTATTATATAAAGAGGATTATGTAGTAATTATTGTTCCGTGGGTACAATGCCGGCCATTAATATTAGAAGTAAAAATACAACGTCCCCATCAACATAAAATTAAATATATTAAATAAAATTAAATATATTATAGTATCGTGATTTACTTTAATATTATAAAATTCAGGTTTTTTCCTTTTTTCTCTCCTATTATTTTTCTTATTTTCCTTTTTTATTTAAGAGAACTTAGGCATATAGAATGAAATCCAAAAATGGGTCTGATTCGATTTAGCCTTTGGCTCCATGCATCCCAATGCAATAAAAATTTAATTTTGTATTTTGAAGTTACTCTTGAGGTCCCTAAAAAAGGTGATTGAGTATGCGTAACCCCGAATGATCTACTATATCCGACCTCAGCTTACATCCTGTCATGAAAAATATCGAAAATAATCATTAACAGCCCAGAAATTTTTTTATGTGAGATGGATTTTGCTTAAAAATTTAGAGGCTATGAAATTTCGGTGTCTGGACAGATGCGCCCTCCTACTTTTGAGCCCCCGATACATTTGAGCCTCCGTCTTGATTTTTCGAATAATGATAAAATTTAAGTGAGACAGTTGCGACCCTACCCCTATTAATCCCAAACAGAAGTCGAATAATGAAAGTAGATTTTTTGGTTTACCGATATATACAGGGTGTTTCAGACTTATAAGTACATACATTAACTGTGAGTGTAAGACACTAGGATGATTCGAAATCACCCATTAATAATGGGTCTATCATGTTAGCAACCCCTGTAAGAAACGTCACTGGGATATCTAGTACTATGACTCATTAGGCGATAAGTTGAAATCGTCAGAAAATGATATAAGCGATATATGGCATTATTGTGCGAATCTTTATACAGTTTAGTCGAGTATAATAAATAGTTGTGTTAAATAGTCGAGTTTAGTTTAGGTTACCACCCTCTCCTAACATGAGAAGTGGTTCGACTCACGCTAAAATGGGTAGAAAAAGAAGGTATTCTTCTTCGAGCAGTTCTAGTTCCTCGAGTTCTACTAGTTCTTCGTCCAGTTCAAGTGCATCTAGATTAAATAAGAGACGCAAGAGAAGTAAACAAAAAAAAAGAATTTAAAAGTACATAAAAATAAGACGGGGGTAAGTCAAGTCTCATTATCGTTATTATCGGAAAAGCATGTTACATCTAATGCAGTACCCGAATTTAATCCGTTATCAGATAATGTCGGCTGTTGGATTGAAATTATAGAGCATCATGTAAACTTATTTAATTGGGCCGAACACCAAACTATTCTTTAAGTTGTGAATAAGCTACAGGGTACAGCAAAAAGGTATGAAAATTTAGTCGCCAACAACAAGCAATGGCCTAGTTATAGTTGGTACGATTGGAAAAACAAATGGGAAAAAAATCGATTTAGATAAATGCCTTTTAAATACTCTGTATAACTGTCCTTCACTAAGACAATAGTAATTTGTACACAACACTTTATTTCGAACAGAAATATTTCTATCTTACCTATTTGACAGTAAATAGCAATCATGCTTAGCTATGGAAACAATGGCTCAATTGCAGTTAAGGTAATGACACAATTTATAGCTTAAAAGAATCAGTTCGCTCACTCGGACCAATTGGATGTTTCAAAAAAAAAACTCCAGGGATACAAATTCAGGATGCGCAGAAGAATGCTGTTTGAATATGCGCCAGGGATACAAATTCGAGTTGCGCAGTGTATAAACTGGAACATTGAGATCAAAAGTGCCGACGCAGAGTCAGCGAACTGATTCTTTAGCTATAAACTGTGGTAATGATGTAAAATTGCTATTTTTTTTTTATTTTAATTAACATCTATTTATTCTTTTTAAAAAGTATTATGAAATAAAAATCCAAGTGAAATTAATAAATTCATTCCAGCTAATGAGACGAGATAGACCCATTATTAATGGGTGATTTCGAATCATCCAAGTGTATTACACTTACAGTTAACGTATGTACTTTTAACTCTGAAACACCCTATATATTATCAGTAAACCAAAAACTGTTTGGGATTAATAGGAACAGGGTCGCAACTGTCTCACTTAAATTTGATCATTATTCAAATAATCAAGACAGGGGCTCAAATGTATTGGGGGCGCAAATGTACGGGGGATCATCTGTCCCGGATTCGAAATTTCTTTTGTAAAGGCTCCACTTAAAACTTATGTATCTTCAATCTAAAAGTTATAGCCATTTGGGAATAAAAAAATTGGATATGGTTGTTTCAAAATTAATTTTAAAAGGTGTGATTAGAAAATGTAAACATGTCTCTGGAGAAATGTTGTCTTTATTTTTTCTTATTTCAAGACCGGATTGTTCAGATTGTTTCATTTTAAATTTGATACATTTGAATAAAATTATAGTCGATCCTACACAATTTAAATTAGAAAATTATAATTCTGTTAAAGTTTTTAAAAAGAAAGGTTATTTTATGTCTACTGTTGTCTTAAATAATATCTAAAAAAAAGAAAAATATATTTTATATAGAATATGAAATAGATAAAAATCTGAAAATTTTCACTTAGGGCACATAAAATTTCTTATTTCTTGTTTTATAGGCAACTGAAAAACAAAATTAATTCGTGAAAGTTGAGGAACATTGTTGGGTGTTTATTGTTCAACTTTTTATTGGCTAAAAAGTATATTGCGCTTTCAATATTAATTATGTAATTTACAAGTTATATTAGTCGTAAGATGAAACATAATTATTATGATGGCATCCGTTTCAAAATTGCTTTTAACATAAAAAATTGAAAAAAATTTCAGAATATGTATCTGGCAAAGGTAACGTTACAGTTGTTATAAACAAAGAGCAATACATTGATTTATCAACCAACATTATTGATAATGACTCATCTTGTGTAGAATTAAATTACATCATCGGTTCAAAACAAATGTAATAGTACACTAAGAAAACTAAAAACGCTCAACAAGATTGATGAGATGACTAAGAAAAAGTGTACTTGCTATGCAGGCATTATTATCTTCAATTGATTTAAATATCTATGTTGGAGCCAACTCATATATGTTTTCAATAAACAGAAATTAAATTTGCATTTTTAATTCATTTTCACATTAAAAGAAAAGTACAGAAAAGCAATAAAGTCACAAATACATCCAATCTAAATAAAAAAATATTTAAAATAAATCATGAATCTTTAATTAAGCCATTTTTAAGGGTTAAAGCGTCCTTAATAAGCGGTTTGGATATAGGTTTATTGTATAAACACTTTTCAATTTTACGTGTTTTATCACCCTTAGAAATATTGCTCAACAATTTTGGTTCACCTTGTATAATAAGGAACATAAATAACCATATCTCCTATAATTTTAGTTACAAAAAAAAAATACTTCTATTGATAGTAATGAAACATAAAAATTACCACTGTGAATATTAACAAAATATAATAATTATAGTATTCAAAATTAAAACAAAACTATATTTCCTTATTCTTCAAAATAAATTGGACATTCGGTATAAATGTCCTCCTTTATATTCATTTATTTGTATAATAATAATAATAATAAAATAATAACAACTATCACAGAATTTTTTGCTTAATTTTTACACCAAACCAGAACAAAAAAGTGTTTACAACAGTTTTTTATTAAGTCTGCTATGCATTCGTATACCTATTCAGTACAATCAATGATTCATTACGATAAGTTAAAACATGGTGACTTCTGAAATGAGTTGTGAAAGTGATTTAAGAAAATATTCTGACTTTTCTTTTATTGTGTTATAAATATGAACAAGTTTCTACAAATATTTAGTATTTAAGGTAAATAAGATATATTTTTTATTTATAAATTGCGGAATAGTAGAAAATAACAAATCATTCTACTCGTATATTTTATTAATTTTTATTTTGACCAAAGTAGGTTTAGTCCTAATAAAAATCTCGAATAAATATTGTTTCATTACTTTTTTGTAAATTTGTATATTGAAAAATAGTTGTGACTTATGACTATAATGGATTTATCAGTTTTGTAACAACTTTTTTTAGATATACACTAACATTTCAGTGATTATGAGAGTGTACAGGGTTTTTCAAAATTCATTTTCTCATATTTACGTAATTGGTTTTTTGTTTAAGTAATAAAAAATCATATTTATAAATTTTTAGTAATCGAAATAACAGTACATTTACTTATTTTTGTAATATATTTAGTAAGAATTCTTTTAGAAGTTCTATAGTTAAAATATAGGTGGGTAGGTAGGTAGGTATTTTTGCCTTTCTTTTCGCATCATATGAAGTTTTTTTATTTATTTAGTTATAGCTACGAAAAAAAATGTACATATTTATCATTTTATTATTTTTTAAAATTTAGAAAAATATTTAAAAGTTTATCCGATTAGTACCCAAGACTCATAAACTTTCTCAACTTAATTTAGATTTTAGAAACTTGAAATTATGTACATACTAATTTTTTTTGTATATTTCATCGTGTCAATAACCAGAGCTGTAGTAGAGACACACAAAATGTAAAAATAATCCTATTAATTGTGGTTTTTCTTTTTAGCGATTTGGGATAGAGAGTGGAGGATGAATAAGCAGCTTCAAATGGTAAGTCTTTTCTTAATGATTTAAAAAAAAATCCAGTAAGAAATCAATTTTTAATTTCACATCTAAATTTTTTATCGTTTGTTTATTTGATCTTGCCCAATTTCTGTTGTCTTCTTTTATTGGTGGCATATGGACTATTGGACTTTTAAGTTTCCTAGTCACTTTCCACAGAGAGTAATCAGTATTTTTATTGTTTTAATTTTCTGAGATATGTGTCTATTAATTCATATTTAATAGTGATTATTTCTCGTTTTAGTTCAGAAAATCATGACATAAATAGTTCCTTTTCTCTCTCTCTGATTTGTTAA